AGTTTGTAGATCGCAGCAAACCAATACAATCACTTGAATATCACCTGATCATTGTTCGGTTGCGCGATTATATAATGATTTTTTTTTAGTGAGCATATGACCGACAATTTTATGAAAATATAATATATTTATATTGACTACAAAATTAGTTGTCAACAAATGATTAATCATTTTTGATTTGGAACACTGTTTCAATATTTTATAGTTATAGTTATTGCAGTGAATAACCCAATTAGTTACTTACGGGTTCATATTCCGTGCCGAAAGCACGGGATTTAAATATGAACCCGTGTGTAACTGAGTTATCCAATATATCCATACAATAACTATCTTATTGCGCTGTATGTAACGATCTCGTGCCAATAAGTAAATGAAAAAAGCGCGGGATGTCACATAAGACCCGTGCAATAAATCAATTTGCACAGTTCAATTAACTCGATACATGTGAAGGAAAACTATGGGAATGGTGTTATCGCCACATGTAGCCCACAATCCGCAGTCACTTTAACACATTCTGAACCTTATCAATTCATTCTCTAAGTCTCTTTACTCATAAAAGGGCCGCTATTCCCAGGCGGTGTGGGCATACACAGCTGCCAACCTAAGAATGATGCAGGGGGTATGCAGCCATTGGAATCTGACCCTTACTGTTTTGTCACATCGTTTAAATTATTCTTAAATGCGATTTCATCGCAATTCCACAGCATCGAGTAGTATCGATGTGTAGTAACTTGTTCGATCGGTTACCAATTCTTTGTAAGAGGTGGGAGAGAACCCTTCGATTAGCCAGAAATAGGGTTTCGGGCAATTATTAAATGCAACGAAAGAAAAGCATAACTTTCCTTTGTGCGTTTTTGTGGCTTACTTATTATTAGACTCACAAGATCAGTGACCTCATCATCATGCAAAACTCATTGGATCTATGACTTCACTGTATTAGCATCACTAGGTCCAACGACTTCAACGATCATGAGGTCAGGTGATCCTCGCGGCAATATTCCTCCTGTGTCTTCGTCACGGTCAGTCTAAAAAAAATCTCAAATGTCACAGCTCACCAATGTCGATTTTTGGGCCAATTTAATATAATTTTGGGTAAAATTTTTTTTCTTTTAGGGTTAGGGTCAAAATTTAGAGTTAGTTTTAGTAGATGTGACGGATCCAATTTGTGATCCTCAAAAATTAGCATCAGCCGTGACATGGGATTTTTTTATAATTAACGGATTTATTTAAAACCTTAAGATGAGTTGATAATTTATTTATTAAAAACAACTTTAACTATATATCTCTATATCAAGTGATATAATTACATTTAATCTAAATTTCATATTATTGATCATATTCTGTTTCAATCAGTTCGTCTTCTTCAAGTTGATCTCTAACTTCATCCAATAGTTTCTGTTTAAGTTTTTGTCGCTTCTGTTTATGATTCTTAGACTTTATAACTACCGGCTGTTTTATGTCAGAATCATCATGATTAATAGAAATTTGGGATGGATTTGGATTTGAATAATTTCGAGTGATAAGGTCTAATCGCTTTTCTCTGTCCCATATTATTTGTCCGTTTGAGATGATTTTAAAATAACGAATTCGATGAAACTAGGAAAAAAAAAAGATACTATTATAACTAAATCCAGATACAGTAAACTTTCAATATGTGTATATAAGACTAATTAAACTCTCGATATAAGAAATTTTTATATCGTAAGTTATTTTTGTAATAGGTAAATGAAAAAAACAAATACTGGTATCTCCGCTTCCTCGAATTCTTCTCGAGTTGCTTCCATAATTCCTAGAAATCTCTGTAAAAATTTTGATAAAAATACATTATATTAAAAAATTATTTTCTCAGAGCTATCGTAAATTTCAGAAATTACTTAAAAAGTTAATACATCTTCGTATCCTATGACGAAATCACCAAATTGTTCCTTGTCCCAAATTAAACGATTATAAATTTCATGTGCTGGCTTTAAACGCTGCATTATGATATCGCTTTGGTAAAAAAGTGAAATAAAAATATTGTAGTTGCCGAAAAATTAGGGAAAAGCTATTTATTAAATTTCTTAGAATCTGCGCAGCAATTTCTGCTGAACAACGCCCAACATTATAATAATAATATACATTTATTATTATTGATACATAAAAGAAAAAGAATGTGCACTTAAACTTTTATGCTGCGCATTTTTATTTTACAACATCCAATCAAACAAACTTGCCTTTTGAGATTCGTACACTGTCGTACTGTACATATGATGACAGCGCAATCCGCAGTTCCGGGGCTACTTTGGAATTCTGCGGGAAAAAAAATATAACTATAACAATAACACACAATGCCCTATTGCTTATTAACATTAATAATTTATTTAAGCTTTCTTCTGAACTAGCAATACTGCGGCATCCAAGATTGTTGTTACTCAATTCCGAAAGATATTCTTTGACAGATCACTTATCTGACATCACATAAGAATTCAATTAATTGCAGGTATTTATTTTTAGCAAATTGTCACGCTGCATGATGTCGAGTCGGGTAAATAAATTTCGGGGAATCATGCCGTAACCTCCAGAATGGCCCCAAAATGAGTATCCTAGTGTGACCATCGGTTGGGAGTATCTAAATTATTTTTGAAAAATCGTATTTTCGGCAAACATTTCGGCATTGCTAAATTTTTTATATGAACTCCTTCGAAATAACTATATTATATGATGTATTTTGATGAAAAGAGTTCAAAAAATTTCGGCAATAATTTCGACAAATATGAAAATTAATTTCGACACTATATAAGATTAATTTCGGCAGCCTAAATGCCGTAATTACATTTTTATTAAAATGGGCAATTTAGGCACCCATGTATAGTTGGGAGAGCAATTACGGATATTACAGTAATCCAAGTTAGCTCGAAGGTTCACTTGACTTGGATTTATAACTCTTGTACACGTGATATGATGTCACGAAATAACTTAAGCGGGGTCGGGGTTATCACTTAATTAGATCAAACTTTTATTATTCGGAGGGTAACAAACAATGTAATACGTAATAACAAAGAAATAATATAATACAACAACGATAATAAAATAATATAGCTAAACCATTACGGCACATTTGTAAAATACCCCAAAATTTGAAAAATTTGACTGCTAATAGGTAATAGTAATTTTGGCTGATAGTCACTGATTTCCAGGTTGTATGTCATTATAATAAACTTACATGTCTAATGAAATGTGTCAAAGAGTGGGAAGATGGGTTAGCCCGTGGGAAAATGGGTTAGACGCATTGTTATTATAGATCGGAGTGCCAATAATTTTTTTTTTTTTTTTTTTTTTTTTTTTCGAGTTCAATATTAGAAAATCGATAATAAATTTTGTCCCCAAAACTTAAGTTTGGGGACAAAAAATTAGTTAAATTTGACAAACGCGCCGTAATGCTGATAAACTAATACAATACGTGAAACTCAAATGCAACACTTGTGAGAATCCGATTCTTATTATAACTCGGGGTCTGAGGGCTCGTGCCTGTGCCCAACAAAAGGCACAGGCACGGGCATTGGAAAATTTGGCATGGGCATGGGCACAGAAATTTGGTATTTGTGCCTGGCACTTTGTCTGGCATTTGTGCCCGGCACCTTATGCCTAGCATTTTGTGCCATGCCTTTGTTAGTGTCTGGCACTTTGTGCCCGGCCTGGCACCAATGTGCCGGGCACGGGCATTTGCAAACCTCTAATTATAACCTATATAACTACCGTATTTGCGCGTAATAGCGGGCCGGGGCGTTAATTCGAATTTTGACTTTTTAAAAAATTTGGCTATTTGCTCAAAATATCGCCCATGCGCGTCCCGAAATAACGCGCATCCGCCTTTAGCGCTTTAAAATTTAACAAAAAGCTTCGAACTGAAAATGCTAAATCTAACTCTTAATCATGACAAAAGTAGAAAATATTTACCGTATCCCTCCGAAAATAAGCACCCTACAATTCATATATACCCGAAAATAATGCATCTCTTATAATAGAAATAAGCAACTAAATATCAGATCATTCAAATTATTAGTTGAGATTATGCCTGAAAATAAGAAACTTATAACAAAAAGGGGTGCTTGTTTTCGGTGGAATACAGTATATTTGACATACCATATTACTATTACGCAATTATTTGTTATTCAGATATTATCTTATTGCTGGATAAATTATATATTCAATTGATTTATTTAATTTAAAGTTGATTCTTTATAGCTTTATGATTTGTTAATGCAAATGCATTATAATTTATATAGTTGAACGGCTAATGATACAAGAGGTATTTTTTAGGGCTCTGCAAATGCCCATGCCAGGCACTAGCACCTCATGTCATGCCCATACTATAGGCACAAAAGTGCCAGGAATTATTATTGGCATTGGCACAAATTCCAGGCATTTTTATAGATATAGGCACAAATGTCAGGTACTATTATAAGTATGGCACAATATACTAGACAAAAAGGTGCCAGGCACAAGTGCCAGACAAAATGTCAGGCACAATTAATTAATAAATATTAAATTTTTGTACCGATATTCATGCCCATGCCAAGTTCTTGTACCTATGCCAATGCCTATGCCAAATTTTTGTATCTGTGTCCATGCTTATATCAAATCTTTGTACCAGTGCCCATGCCTATGCCAAAGCATTTTATGCCCATTTCCCATGCCTGAATTTTGTTGGGCATGGGCACGAGCCCGGTTTGCAGACCCCTAGTATTTTTATTAATATTTGAAACTGCTGTTGCTAATTGGTTATTATAATAGCATCCATGTGCGTTGTTTTAAATACCAATACAGAGTTTCAAAAAAAACACACACACACACATTTTTATTCAAAATAAGGCGCATGCGCATGTCAAAATAACGCGCAGGGGGGCGTTATTACGCGCAAATACGGTAAGACATCGTAGGTTCTGAATCATAGTCTGAGGAAACTTTACTAAGGCGAAACTCAGGCTTTAAATACATTTCAATTTACTATGATTTACTGTGCTATCTTTAATTATCCTTCCGGCAATGACGCATCAGAAAAGCCACTGACAATTTGCTTACATCTTTGCTCACATCTTGCACGTTATTTTGCTCTCAATATTTATCACAATTACTGCACATCATTCGATTGCTTCTATCTAATGTTTATCGTATGATGGGAGTAACCAACCACCGGGATTAATCTGTATTTCTAAGCCTTCAGCAGCGACCTAGAGCCACACAATATTCTTGTGGTTGGGTCATTTGAGCTTTTAGTACTACCAAGTCACATCAAGTTCACGGGTTTAAATTTTAAACCGTGACACTCTTATAAAAAAGTTTGTCTAGTTTTTGCATAGTTTTTGTACGATTTTTAAATAATATAAAAAAGGTGTACTTTTCTTATATGTTTTTATACAGTATATAGCCTTTTTATACCAATAATTGTACAAAAGTCTCCATTCCTAAAATTTTTTGAACAGTACCAGCAAAAACCAATACGATAATCTTTTTTAGTGAACAAAATTTGGAGATCATGTGTTGCCAATCTATTTTCGTAGTAAAAAATTTTTTTTTAACTTTAATCAGGCGTACCGAAAAATTAATTGCAATTACGTACTTTGCAGAAACCTGTATTTTTTGCCAAATATATTTACAATATATATAATTATTATATATTTACTATATAGATAGTTGCGATATAGCATCTATATAACAAATATATAGTAAATATTTATATTTAAAATCTTTTAATTATATATTTTTTTTTTCTATTAAGTCTCATACAACTTGATTTTTACAATATATTTAAAATATAGTAAAAATATATTAAATATAAAATATAATAAAAAATATTATAAAATATAGTAAAAATATAATAAAAATATAATAAAAATATAGTAAAAATATAGCGAAAATATATTAAATTAATCTTTAAAATCTATTTAAAGTCTATTTAAAATATTATAGCCGTATAATAGTAATATAATAAAAATATTTGCTAAAAATATTTTATTATATAAACTAATTCAACAAAATGCTTTGTATCATTGCAGCAGTTTTTAAGTTCCGCTATATCACAATAATTTCAATACAAATTAATTCTACCTTTGACAACATACAGTATTATTACAATATCAAATGGGATACGTAAGTGAACTTTTTCTAGCAATCTTAATAGAAATCATGATAAATTCAATACAAACTAATTAAACAACATACCAAGTACAGTCGTACCTCTATACAATCACCCAATTTGTCTAGCACTTTTTGGTGATTATATAGAGGGTGTTAAATAGAGTTACTTCTTTATAACTACATAATATAAAATAACATATATAATGTGATTTTAAAAAGGTAATTAAAAATTTATTAAGAGCTATTTGAGTAATATTTAGATTATTAAAATTGTCTAATATTCTACAATAATAGGCCTTATAAGGAGAATTTAATTGTAATACTGTATAATTAATATAATTAGCTATTCTTTTTTACTTTACTAACAATTATTTTATTAACAGCTTGTTTAGTTAACACTATGTCAAGTGAAACTATATGATTAAAGTCTATTTTTTCTTGGTATCACTTATATTTGTATTATATTATCTGAATAAGTTAACTAGATATCTTAAATATTACAGCTGTTCTCAAATTTTAGAACATTTGGTAAAAATTACCTAAATGTTTGTTTGGCTAATTTAATAAGTTTTTGATTTGGTAGTGATAAACTTTTAGTCTAAGGTGTAATTCACAAATATTTTTAATATACAGTGATGGTATTACAATGTTAACATATTCAAATATTAAATTATTGTTTGAATACACGCCTATCTAGTAATCATTCAATCAATTTTTTACCAGATGTTCAAAAATAATAAAAACAGCTATAACTAATTTTATAATCTAATTATCCGGATAATCTAGTAGCCAATCAGTTATTATATCTTAAGATATGATGATTAGTTACTGCTATTAAGTATTGGAATTGGGTTAGTTAGAA